TCAAAAATTTTGTCAACTTTTGTTTTCAGAATTTTTAACAAGTTTTGCTTTTTATGCAAATTGCAAAAAGCATGTTAAAATGTTTGTTTCAATAAATGCAGGCAAACTGTGGTAGCTTGCAGTTTCTGTCACATTGTCTGAGATATTATTAATATCTGATAATTATAAGTATTTCACTTTATGCACAAATAGCTGTAGTTCTAGCAACAAAAATAACTCCTACTACAGTTTATGCATGATCAGATGCAAGGATTATGCAAATTACAATCAATCAAAAATGTAATACTTGCATAAACTGCATGAAACTATCATGCATGCGTTTTACTTTACAAATAATTGTACTGCATGTACCGTTTTTTATTATTTTCAACTGGAACAGCAATTGCATCACTCATAAAATACTTGTAGCAAGACCAATCGTTAACAGCGTACGGTAGGTGGCAGTTACGATAAAGAACAGTATACGGTAGGTAACAACGTACGGTATGTGGCAGTATGATAAGTAACGATATATTATTGGCAAGTTATTGTATTTCATTTTTTTTTCCAAATATAATTTTAGTAATTATTAGAAGATAAATGTAACAGTATCCACGTTATTGTGAATTCACTGTTAACATCACTGTTAATATCAGTCACTTTTTTTCCTTCCGATACATTTTTCCAAAATTTTTACGGTTTTTCTCCCGGTATATTTAGCCGGCATACTTTTCCAAAATCTTTTCCGGTTTTTTCTTCCGGTATACTTTTCCAGTGCACTTTTCAAGTTTTTTCTCTCGGCCTATTACCCCAACAGATTTTTATTGACAATGTAGCTTTTTGTAGCTTCATCATGTTTAAAATTCATTATTTAAATTTTTGATTAAAGATGAAAAAGTTTCCATTTCCTGATTTCTTTTTTCTATTTGTCCAATTCCGGTAACATAAGGAATAAGCTCAAATACTATTTTTCAATCGAATTATTTCAATCATTAACGAATTATATTTCATGTTTCAATATAAATTTCCAATTCAAATTTTATTTAAGCCTTATCTTCTAGCATTTGATAGCAAAATATTTTATAATTGATGCATTTTTATAATTTCATTGATGCTTGTTTATTATGAATAAATTTTAATATTTATATTTTCCATACAACTTTACGTCCTTTTAAATTTTCATTCATTCAAATTGCTAATTTAAAATTTTATTAGCCGTCATTTTCCTTTCTTTCCCGGAACAATTATGATAATATCAGTAATTTTCATTTTATTTATTTGTTTTTTCTTTTTTCCTTTTTTTTTGCAAAATTGAGTAGTTATCAATTTCAATGAATTGCTGAATTTTTTTTTTTTGCCAAAAATTTTAATTTCCATCAAAAATTTGTTGAGAATTTTAATTTATCTTTGTGAAGATTGATTTCAAAAATTATAATAGGTCTTTCATCGCATAAAATACTAATACATAGGAGGGGAGTTTGAAATGATAATTCAATTTTCTAGTGCCTCTATCATATAAAATACCTCAATTACTTTTGAAGTACCGGCAAATAATTCATTCGAAAATAAACATCTCATTGCCAACAACCTATTAATCGTCAATTTTTCAGTTTTCTTCAAATTTTCATTGCCATTTAGTATTTGTCAATTTGTAAAAATTTTATGATTTATTAAAAATTAATCGATAAGAAAAATTTTAATTTAAATTACCTTTCAACAATTTTTTCAATTAAAAATTAAATTTATTAATTTCTAAATATTTTTAAAAATGTTGTTTTTTTTAATGATCAATTTCTCTAAACTATTATCATCATTTGTTTCTTTTTTTTTTTTCGGAATACGACAAAAACTATGACAATGTTCAAATAGCGTCGAAGACTATGACAATGTGATTTATGCATATTGAAGTTTAAAAAAAAAAAGAAATAAAAATTTTTAAATTATAGATCAGTTTTTGGTATACAATCCTGTTGTGATAACAATAATTAGCATGATAGAAGTTATCATGATAATAATTGAAATATAATATCACTTGTCCAATTAGATCTTTGTTTATGACATTTGAGAATGATAATGATAATTACTTTTCATAGGAATTTTATTTCTATAAGATTTCATAGAAATAAAACTCTTTAGGAATTTTATTTTATTACTTTTCTTAGGGAAAATTATTGCCACATGTGAGCTTTTAAAAAAAAGAAAAAAGAAAAGATCAACTAACATATGTTATTTTCAAAGATCAATATCACAAGAGTGTAATATTTTAACGTTTAATGATGAATTAATGATAACACTGATAAGATATCATTTCTTCTAATACATATGTTTAGTTATAAAATTAATGAATGGTACAAAAAAAGGAATGTAGAAAATGAATTTAAAATAGTTAAAAGTTATCAAAAAAAAAAAATCATCTTAATGAAATTTTTTTGATTCCACTAAAATGGACCAATTATTTTCATATATAATTTATTTAAAAAATAAAAAATTAAATTTATTAAAATTTAAAAAAAATTATTAAAATATAAAATTGGTTGAAATTTTCAAAAATTGTTATTGTATACGAAAATTGCAAACAATTAAAAATAAAAAGGAAAAAAAATAAGAAAAGCTTTTAGTGGAGTGCAAAAAATAAATAAATAAATAAAATTTTGAACTATATCATCATAATTTACTATAATTTTAATGGCATATTTTGAACGAAATCATTTATTTTTTACAATTTTAATTGATTGTTTAATTCTTTTTTTTTCTTAATCCTACTGAATTATTATTTGTAAACAAAATTCTTGAAAAATTTTCTGAAAAACTGATTTAGTGTAGACAATAATTTGCACAAAAAATTAGGGAATTATTAAATTTGTAATGATTTACATGATTAATTAATAATAGGATTGTTTGATTTCGCATATGTCATTTATCATAATTTGTATTTATTTCTTACATTTATGGTATACAGTTTCTTTTTTTTCTGTTCTTTAAATCATTTTTATTTTGCGATTAATGATAGAATTAATATCTTAAAATTTTTAACAGGACTTTAATTCGATTTAATTATTAAATATATGAAATATGTTGATAAAAAGATAAGCTTATTAATTATCACATAATGTATTGATAAAAAGATAAGCTTATTAATTATCACATAGTGTATTTGAATATTGAAAAAATTACCAATATATTAAACAATGTGAAATTTCAAATATATATGATAAAATTAAATTAATTTTTTTTTTTGAATTTTCAATAAGGAAAGAAAAAGTAACAACAATTTGACATTTCTATTTGGGAAACAGTTCCTAAGATTGATTTATGCAATTTAATTTTTCAGAAAAATCACTGATGACAGTTTGATAAATGAAATTAATCGTCATCCTTTTAGCATTTTCATTTGTCAACTTTTTTTTTTTTTTACTTTTGTTTATTTAGTCAAATGTTAGGTTTTGTTTTATTATTTTATTTCTTTAGTTTTTCTTTTTTTTTTTTTTTTGTTTTGTATTTAAAATTTAATTGTTAAAAATTTTTTCGTTTTTTTTCTTTTCCTTCCTTAACTAAACTTAATTAAG